TTTTATAGCAGATAACCTTAAAAATATTCTACAATGTTCTGCATATAAAGTTTAAATTTCTTCAGTACTGAACAACAGAAAAAAATTGGCTTTCTTGTCCGAGGTCATTTAAGTGAAAAAAAGAAAAAGAAAAGAAAAAGACAGCAGCCTAAACAAGACAGCGCTGTAAACAACGGTAGACTGGTGGGTAATAAGCGAATGAATAATACAGAAAACAGAGATTGGAGACGGGAAACTGTTCTTGAAGTACAGAGAGAGAGAGAGAGAGAGAGAGAGAGCTAGCTGTGCATGAAGTGTGATTTTAATAGTCGTGGAAGCAAAACAGTAAAATTCATGACGACATTGATCAAATGTGAAGCGCAGTTTGCTGCTTCTTTTGCTGTTTCCTCTGTGAATTTTGGTTGAAAGAGAGACAAAACCTGCAGCTCAGAATTAGCGCAAAAAGACGTAATCACAGCGCGGAATGGAAGCATCAGAATGGCTAAGCTCCGACAGCGTGTCCGTCTACAGGCCGTCGGGTGAGAAAGCCGAGAAAGACAGTTGATTCTGATGCGTCAGTCCGTTCTGTGTTTACGTCTTTGTGTGGAATCCGTGTACCTGCTCTCATCTGCTGTTTGGTTGTTGTTGAAATGGTTTTGTGAGCTTTAATCTGAGAATCTGGAAGTAATAGTCAGTGTTATTTAAAAAACAACAGTAACTTGACCATGCAAATTATCTTACTTATTTAGCCATGTGTTTCTTTTTTTTCAGCACACATATGACAACTTAGAATCTGTCAAAGTCCTTGTAACCACTTTTATAGATAAGAAAGAGATTTGTAAAAAAAATTCTTAATGTCAGCAGTGCCAAAGACATCATAGGTCAAAGCCAATCTCAGCACATGGGCTGTGTGCTGAGCTAGATAGGCTGCTAAAGTATAACACTGATTTCATGGAATATATTGATGTTGACAGTAAGGTAGACGTTAAGGACTCTGATAGATTCCTTTTTTTTCTCTCTTTTGCCTGTTCCGTTTGGCTCTTTTGCCATTAGAATTATTGTCTAAAGGCAAAGAAAGATGCCCAACGGATTTACTTTACAAAATTGACCATCCCAGGCTTGCCGTAATGGTCCATTTGATTCACCTTTTATTGTTTATTTTATTTTCACTTGCTGAATACGGGACAGACTTGACTGGGGGAAAGAAGGGGAGAAAGAAAGAGGGAAAGAAAAACAGCTGAGAAGAGGGGAGAAGGGCAAAAAACAAAAACCAACAGAATGAGCAGAAAAAAAATAAATGCATCTATCGATCACCTGGATCAACTGTTGAGAAAGAAAAAAGAAAACAAGCAGAAGA